GGGAAAAGAGCATGTGATTTTGCTAGAGCAGACACTTGAGAGAACACGTGATGTTTGGAAAGGGTATAAATAAAATCCAAGGCTGTGGACGCTGCTGTGGCATTGGTTTGCTTTGTCTTTGCTGATATTGTTTGTCGTGACTTCTTAGAGAGAAACTCACCAAAGAACTTGTGATATTCCAGCAGCTTCTTGCTGCTTCTGCAGACTCTGGGCCCATTGGCAGATTCTCTCAGTTTCTTCTCAGACTGCCCTTGCTGATTCGTGAATGGTGTTTGCAAGTGGATTGAGCTACCGATGGTGATTCCTGTGGACTGAACTGCTGTTATCCTGACAGTACAGATTTAATCACTCCAAAGAACTATTTCTAAACAGATCCACATCCTCCTTTGCCCTGTTAACCTTTCATTTCCACTACCTCTGGTGGGTATCAGGCTCTAGGGAGGTTAAAGTGTTTAAGAACCCTTACTAATGTAGGTTTTGGAAAATCTAAGCCTACAAAGTTTCCTGGGTTCTTGATTTTCTTCTATTTCTTGTCCCTTGATCCTGGTGCCTAACTTTAAATGTCCTTTCATTTAGCACTTTCTGTGTGCTAGAACTTGATGCTGCAGAGGTGAGCAAAAAGATAGTCTTTCCCTGAGGTATTATTGATAGGGAAGGCAGAGATGCCATGGTTGTGGTAAGTGCTGCTGGAGTCGTCTGTGGATTGTCATTTAAGTAATAGGAGAGCAAGGCGTTTAAGTCATTACCAAACATTGTGTATACTTTCTCCTAAAACTACCCTTCAAGCTACAGATTTTATCATATTCCCTCTGTGCCACAATCTGTATTCTTCTCCTCTCTCTTTGGACTGTTTAGATGTCTCCTGTATGAGGCTACTCTGTTTCAATTATAACCTGTACACTTGGCTTGATGGCCCCACTGTCCCCTAGCCCCAAACTGAGAAAACGAAAAGTTGCCTTCCTACTTAGAAAACCCATGTGAATAACCATGATATTTCCTGCTTAATCTTTATCAGTGGTTTTTTATATCTTCCATCAGCTCTCTCCAAGCATTTTAAGTAGGGGGTGGCAAGATGGCTCAGCAGATAAGGGAGTCTGCCAAGGGCCTGAGTTCAAGCCCGCTGCAAAGAGAGAACTCCCCCAAGCTGTTTTTTGATCTCTATACATGTGCATGCTGTCTGTCTCTCTCTCTCTCTGTCTGTCTCTGTTTCTGTCTCTGTCTCTGTCTCTCTCTCTCTCTCTCTCTCACACACACACACACACACACACACACACTTTTAAGTCATCATTACAAGAGGTGGCCAGTTTTTATACCCAATTTGTATAGAGATGTGATTAGAAGTATTATTTTAAATTTTTCATTGAAATTTTGTAATATATTCTGTGTTTATATTAAAACAAAAATTATTTACCTTCCATATTCTTTTCCTCCTACTCCAGCCTCTGAATAAAACTGGTAGTTTAGGAAGATGTACATATCATTCTGGATTGCAGTGATTTTTCAACTCTTCCTGAAAGTCTAGATTTTCTGAGAAACTGTTTGGAGTAGCAGGTCTTTATCATCCACTCCAGCCAGAGAACACTCCATTGTCTGTGGTACATGTTAGGTGTCTAGGGAACGTTTGGTGTGGAGGAAAGCTCCTGCACTAAAGAAATGTTTGGGAAATGCTGTTTTAACTCTGACCATAAGCTTCAAACTCCTTAGTTTGTCTTGTGAAGGTCTCCTGGTTTGCTCCTGCCTACTACGTTTTACCGTCTCTATCCCCCTAGCTCCCAGAGCCTTTTCTAGAGATTGAAACCAGTGCAATTCATTTTGTTTGACCCTAGAGTTACTTTGCATAAGATTTAAATGAAAAACTAAAACTGTAGTTGCTACCATGTAAAAATCAGAGATAGATAAAGATGTTAATTTCTGCTGTTTCTTGAAAAGGTAAATCCACATTGGACCCATATGTTTTACAACATGAAATTAATGAGTACTGGCTATCACCACCACAGCCAACTCTTGTTAACTAGCTTGAGGAATCTTAAAGAGCGTTTTTAATGTTATAATTATATATTTTAATGCTTATTGTTTATTGCAAACCTGAAGGAATCTAGAGTCACCTGGGAGCACACACTAGACATGCCTGTAGAGGACTATCTCTAGTACATTGATAGACGTTTCCAGGCCCGTCTTAATCGTGGGGACACCATTTGATGGGTTGGGTCCTGGACTGAAGGAGAAAGTGAGCTGAGCACTGTGACTCACTGCTTCCTCACTGTGACCAGAGCTCCTGCTGCCGTGACTCCTCCCCCATGAGAACTGCACCCTGAGCGGTGTGCCAAAACAAATCAACCCTTCCCCCTTGAGTTGCATTTGTGTGGGTATTTTATCATGGCAACAAGAAAAGAAATGAGGCCGGGCGGTGGCAGTGCACGCCTTTAATCCCAGCACTTGGGAGGCAGAGGCAGGCGGATTTCTGAGTTCGAGGCCAGCTTGGTCTACAGAGTGAGTTCCAGGACAGCCAGGGCTACACAGAGAAACCCTGTCTCGAAAAAAGAAAGAAGAGAAGAAAAGAAATGAGGATATCCATTGTACTGCTTCCTGTTTCTATTGATTTGTACATGTATATATGTTAAGTATGTACCCCATCACTGAGCATAGCTCAACTGAATCTTGAAAGTTTTTTTTATTTGCTGCTTTTATTTCTTGAGATTATAATTACATAAAATGTCCCTTCTCTTTCCTCCCTCCAAATTCTCCCATATACTCCTCCTTGCTCGCTTTCAAATTCATGACCACATTTTTCATTAATTGTTGTTGTATGTACATATGTTTACGTCTATACATATATATCCCTAACATAATCTTTTGAGGGCCGATAATATGATGTTGAATAACCAAGTGTTGTGCTCTTTCTGGGGAAGACTGTTTCTCACACTCTCAGCGTTCCTTAGTTGCCTGTGGCTCTTTGTATAGGCTTGAGTCTTCTTGGACTTATCCTGTCGACTTTGGCATTTTTATGGTGTCATTCTTGTTCAACTCATGTTTGAGAAGTCATATTAGTGAGACTTTTTACATACCCAGGAGACACAATTTCACAGCGAACCCCCTGACTCTTCTTGTTCTTATGGTCTTTTTTTTTTTTTTTTAAACAAACCCTTTTTATTAGTTCCTTGTAACCTTCGCATCATACACCCTGATCTCACACATCTCCTCTCCTCTTACCCACCCTCCACCCTTGCAACCTCCCCTCGGGGAAAAAATCTCATGAAAGCTTTAGTTGTGTCACAGTGTGTCCCACAGTATACCCTTTTGTCTACACTTCTTTGCTTGCAAATGTTTATTGCAGTGACTCTGTTACAAATCCTCTGGCTTCTGCTAGTCTGTCAATACTGGAACCTCACTGTCATGGAGACCCTGTAGTTTTGGATCTGTAGGACTGGCTTCTTCATGCACTCCAACAGTTTATTGATGTGGTGGATATTGGGATGAGCCAATTCAAAGTCCCAGATCTGGGCCTCAGAGGTATCTGAGCTGGTGGTCAGTCTGCCAGCTCTCCTTCACCCGCACCACTGTGGTGGGTTCACTATCAACCCCACAACCCTGGCTAGCTCTACCCTTTGCCCAGTTGAGGTGCAGGACCTACTCTCTGGAGCATTGCAGCTGGTGAGGGATATTGCTAGTTCTTCCACTCTCAGGACCCCCAAGGCCAGTTCTCTCTCCTACCGTAGATGCTGAGGGATGAGGGAGTGGAGGAGGATATCCCTCCTTCATCTGTGCCACCTCCAAGCAGCCAAGAAGCAGAGCTAGCTCTCCTATGCTTATTCCCTCAGGGGCTGGCTCACCTCATGCCCAGGGCCAGCTCTATTGTGCTGCCCAGGCAAGGTTCAGGGCCTGATCTCCTGAGTACTACAGCTTGTGAGGGGCAGGGCCAGCTCTCCTGTTCTCATGACCCCAGGGCTGGGTCTCCTACCTGTTGCAAGTGGTAAGGGGCAAGTGAGGAGGAGGTTATCTCTCTCATCCACACCACCATTCAGGAGTTGAGTGGCAGGGCCAACTCTTCCACACTCATATTCTCAGGGCCCACTCTCCCGAGTACTCCAGCTGGCTAGGGGCAGGGTCACCTTTCCTGCTTTCACTCCATCAGAACCAGCTCTCCCACCCAGGTGACAGGCAGGGCCAGTTCTGCACAGCCCTCAGATAGGAACATGTCTCTGACCTTTTTTGTTTATTTGTTTGTGTGTTTTTGTTTTTTCGAGACAGGGTTTCTCTGTATAGTCCTGGCTGTCCTGGAACTCACTCAGTAGACCAGGCTGGCCTGCCTCTGCCTCCCAAGTGCTGGGATTAAAGGTGTGCACCACTGCCTGTCTAGTAAAATACCCCTGCTATTGAAGGGCCTCAGACCCAGACTCTCCCATCCCCCCAAGCACAGACCAGGACCCACTTTGGTCCCAAGGTGCATCACTGTCTAGTCACATCAGACTGTTCCTTATTACCCTCCAGTTCTGTCTCTCTTCATTGTGCACATATACTTCTGTTTCTCTCTCTTCCATTTCTCTACCACTTACTTGTTCCTGTTACTGGCACACAGAGTCTCTGTCTAGGGTTTTCTCAGGAGTAGGGTCTCAGGAGTGCTATGCCCAACTTGGGCATATGGCACTGGTTAGGGGTCATCTCAGGCATGATTTGTGTCCCCTCCGCCCAACCTGCTTTTGTGCTAGACTGGTGATTGTCTTGGGCTAGCTCCCTGTCTGGGCTCCATAGTGCCAATATGGTGGTTGTCTTAGGCTCATTCCTTACCCAGTCCTGCATTAGTGGCCCTATGCCAGGGTCATCTGTCTCAGGCTCCCTCCTGCCCAGGCTCTTAGTTCCAAGTGGGGTTCTTCTAGTCTAGATTCTTCTGCCCTGGGAGCTTGTCCCTGCCTGTCCCTGGACTGGTGGTTGTCTCAAGTTTGCTTTCTGTCCAGCCTCCTGATACCTGACTGATAGTCTTCTCCGGCTTGCTTTTTTCAGGGACTGTTAGGCTACTAATCATTCAGTGTCACAGGTCAGAACACTGAGCACAGGCACAGCCTCTCTCCTCTCTGCCTCCTACTGGTGCACATGTGACACAGCAGCTGCACCTGCAACGCCTCTAGGCGCAGTTGGTTTTACAATCATTCTGCCCCATCTTCTGCGATGTTCTCTGGGCCTTAGGTTTTGGGAGTCATTGTATAGCTGTATCCACTAGGACTGGGCTCCATGACTCTGCATTTCAGGAATTTGAAAATTATTAATCCTTTGATGAGAAAGTATAGTATCAGTTGCCTCAAGGGAGACTTTTCTATTCCATTCTCTACCGCATGAAATGATTTATTGCAGGTATCCTTAACCTTGGCTGTATAATCAGGCCCAAGTTAAATAAATTAGAATTTTAAGTAACATCGCTTTATACATAACACTTTTCTAATTAGTGACTGGATGATAAAGTCATCTTTCCTGAGTTTAAATTTTATATTCATCCTAAAAAAAGAAATATTTTTATTACTCAAACGATCATCCTGTACTTATTTAATTTTTTTTGGAGATTATAATGTTACTTTGAAGGAAATAAGTCTTCTAGTTAGATATTTAAGTAATAAAAATTGGACAGCCCTGCACAGTGGTGCATGTTTGCAATTCTAACACTTGAGAAAATTAGACGTTTGAGGCCAGCCTGAGCTTTGTAGCCAGACTCTCGTTTTAAAACAAAAACAAGGAAAACAAAAATTGAAATGAATTTGGGCAGATATAGTGAGAGAAACTGAAATGTGAAAAATTAAAACTGTATACAGCTTTTATCTGATTCAATAATGTGTGTATGGTAACAAGTGTAATAGACGTAGGTATTGATGAAGTCATACGGCCGCATTAACTTGAAGTCTGCACACATGGCACCAAGTGCGTCTCTGCCTTTGCTTTTCTTCAGTTCTGAATCCTGAGATTCAGAGTTAGCTACTGTATGTCCTCTATAAAAGACGGGTGCTCTTCCTGTCAGCAGAATCGTAGGGAACCAGACTTTGGGAAGCTCTTTGTGAATCACTCTGTGAAAAAGTATCTCATTTAACTCCCTGCAGGGACTCATGAATGTGCTGTTTTCTCTGAGACACCTTTGCAACACAGGATTTCTTGAAGTTCTGTTACTTTTAACTTACTAAGATCTCTAATATTTTTAGTCTTTGTATTTAGTAGCATGTTTCCAATGTGAAGCAAATACACAGGTGAAAATTTTGACTTATAATTGTGTAATTTTCTGAGTAGTAAAACCGAAGGAACGTTAGACATAATTATACAGAGTGGAGTTGTTAGTAAGCACCTGATCCTGCTCTTATTTCTGTGAAAGTGTCATATTTCAGTGACCGTGGGATCTAACTTTTGGGCAGCTGGACAGCAGGGGAAGGAAAAATGACTCTTGTGGCTGGAGAAAGTACATTGTGCTCTCCTGTACCAGACTAGGTTCTTTCTCAGAGGATAATGGATTCCACACTGGTGACTCAGCCTCCTGTGGTCTTACCAGGATCGGGTGCATTATTGGTTTTCATCCTGGCAGGCTAGGCATTCTCATACCAAGAAGTTGCAGTTGGAAAATAACTAGACGTTTCCACATGGTGGTTGTAAGAGAAGACTTTCCCTCCACTTTTTTGCTCTATTATACATTTTTATTGCTAGATAAACTATAACTTCTTTGGAAATGGTTATAACGTGTTGTTACTTTTCGGGGCAAGATTGTGCCTCATGATCTACTTACTTAATTTAGAGAATGAAGCTAAGTGTATTTTAAGAGTGGGAAAGATTCCCTGTTACAAAAGTTTTCCACACACCAGATTCTAGGAATAGTCTTTTCAGATTGTACACTGGGCTCCCAGTCAGTTGATTGATCTGTAAATCAGAATAACAAATACAAGTTTTGGATCCATCAAAGCCAAACATTTCAGAATAAACTTAAAGTAGGAACTTTTGGGTGCTGGGGATAGAGCTCAGTGTAATAGTACTTGCCTAGTATGTGTAGGGCCTTGGGTTTGATCTCTAACACTCACATAGACACATGCACACACAGATATACACACAGACACACACATAAAGTACATGTCCAGAGATAAGCATACACAGAAACATACACAGACAGACACATAGAGACACAGAGACAGACATACAGCCATGCACACAGATACACTCAGTCACACAGGTTCATAGACACACACACACACACACACACACACACACACACACACACACACACAGATTTCTTAGTAAAAACCACTCACCTTAATAATTGAGGAAGAACCAGCGCCTCCTGCTTTTAGAGTGTCTCCTTTTTTAGGTTTATAAATTGTTAATCAAATGAGTGACTGAATTTAGTGTGTGTGCATATGTGTGTGAGCACACACGTGCCCCTGCTGGTGTGTGAAGGTCAGAGTGCTGCCTGTAATTCTTGAGTTTAGGTCACTGAGCTTGCCATCAAGTGCTCTTAATTGCTGAACCATCTCTCTGGCTCAAATTCTTTACTTTAAAACAATTAGTAGAGTGTTAACTGTCATAGTAAGTATGGCTTATTTTATTTCTATACTAAGTGGATTTAGGTATTGTCAAATAGTTGAAACAAACTTTATTTTGTGGGTTTTTTTCTTTTTTATCATTGGGAGTTGAACCTTGTGCATACTATGCAAGTGCTGTGCCCAGCCTGGGGTAAATGTCTTTCTAAAGTTGTGTTTTCCTTTCATATGCTTTAATGAACACTACACATGTGGAATGTGTTTATCATTACAGAGTGATCTTTGCCCTGGGAGTCAGAACTCTGGTTATTGAATGTCTCTCTTAGTAAAAATTTCATGGCTGTTTCCCTTTATTAATTCTTGTTTTATAAGAGTTTTATGTGTATTGTTTAACCTACTTTTGTGCAACAATTTTTTCTATCAGATAATATCTTGACTGAGATAAAATGATCTAATCTTTGAACTCATATTAGGGTCTCATCATATAGGCCAGGCTGGCCTGGAATTCTGTGTAGACCAGGCTAGCCTCAGATTCACAGAATACCTGCTTCTTCCTGAGTGCTGGGATTAAAGAAACTACCATGCCTGACCCCATAAATTGTGTTTTAAAAATCATGCATTTATGTTTTCCCCCTTTCCTGTATTTTCTTGAATTAATTGGTATTTTTCTTTTCCTGTTATAGTAATCATCTACTTTCATGTTACGAAGCAGATTATTGCTGTAATTTGAGCCAATAACTTGAAGTTTGGAAGACCAAAGTTTGTTGAGAAATTTTGTAATTAGCTGGGCCTGGTGGTGTAGGACTGTCATCTTAGCTACTTGGAAAGCTGAGGCAGGAGAATGACAAGTTCAGTGCTTGCCCTGGGATACACAGTAAGTTCAGTACCAATCTGGGCAGCTTGGTTAAATCCTGTCTTAAACCAAAAAGTAAAATCAGAGAGCTGGTGGGATTGCTCAGCGGGTAAGGGTTCTTGCCTCCAAACCTGCTAATCTGAGTTTGATCCTCAGAAGCCTCATGGTGGAAGGAGAGGACCAACTTGAGGAGATTGTTCTTAGGCTTCACACTTGTGCCAAGCCATGCTGTGTACACATATGCCTGCATTCACACATGTATACACATACAAAGAAATTAATAAGATTTAAAGTAATTATTTTTTAAAGGTTGATAAACAAGAGTTGAGGCTATATATAGCTCAGTGTGAAATGCTTACCTGGTGTACATGAGGTTTAATCACCAGTAAAACACATACATGCACATGCATGCATGCACACACACACATACATGGATACACACACACACACACACACACTCGTGTTATACATATCTTAGCAAGTCTCATCTTCATGACTTTTAAAAAGTGCTGTTTTCAATAGTGTCTAATGGGTTTTCGATAGCTCCAAGTGGATTAGCAAGACAATGATTGAAAGTGTTTTCAGGGCTCTATGGTAAAAGGGTTCTATATATTATGGTATGTTTTTAAAATGTATTTTAAATAACTCTTCTTTGTGCCTCACCAAAATTAAATTGTGACCACTACTTGCATGGAAAGTTTTGCTGAGCTTCACAAGATCATATATATACAGCTACATATATCATATATATAAAGCTACAGAAGAAAACGCAGAGGGCTGGGAGGTAGCCTGGTGGTAGAGTACATACCCAGCATGGGCACGGCCTGGAGTTCAGTCCCCGGTGTAAGCAGGGGATGAGGGCAGTTGATACCCAGATCCAAGAAGAGAAACCTCAACATTGTTTTTTCTTGCAGTGCATTTTGCAATTGAATTTCTCAACTGCTGTATAGAGGTAGCTTATTACTGTGTATAGATGTCATACAGCCCAAAGGCACCTCATAAATCATATAGTTGGTAACTTATTTTAATAGATCAGATTACAGATTTTTTTTCCTTTTAGGAGTTTTGGTATTGGAATTTTAGAAATTCAGAGTGGTTCCCCCCTTCTCTCATTTAAATGGAATTATTAAGGTTAAGACATTTATATCTAAGGAGTTAGGCCGTGCAGTTCTTGTCGATGTTTTTCCCCAACATTCAAACAAGCACACATGCTTGTGTATCACTTGTTTTTAATTTGATTTATGGATGGAATGGCCATTACAACATGTCTGTAGCTGTAACCTGTGTCATTTAAAATGATGAATGAGTTTATTTTCCAGTGTGAGTAGATATTTTAATTTCTTAGGAATTAAGGTTTTTGGGTTGGAGGAGATTTCAGAGAGCATCTATTCCAAGCTCCCATTTTATAGATGAATAAAGTAGGTACGAAGGCATTAAGTGATTGGTCTAAACTTCTGTGTCTCTAAGCTGTATTGTATGTTGGAATGCTGTGACTTAGGAATGATAGAGACCTTAATTAATGCATCTAACTTCAGTGTTACTTGGCAAACTCCCAGCTTATTAATGTGTCGGTTGTACCTTGTGCTTTCATTAGTGTCAAGTAGTGAAAATTCAGAATTTATGGTGAGTTGTAATTCAGCAGTCATTTCCTAAAACCTGTCATTATCTGTAATTTAGAAACACAATGACCAGGAAGCAGTATTAGTATAAGCATAGTTTTATAAGTTCGTATTAATCCATCCGGTAGAGCATAACATTTTAACATACCTTTCAGAGGCACA